AGTTTTCTGGATTGTATATATAAAAATGGTGTGACTAATCAAGAAAATATTGCAGAATTTTCCAGGCCTTACAATTATTTGCCCATGGGGCTGGGAATGTGGCTTAAAAGTAGAGTGCTTGTCTTGCATGCATGAAGCCCTGGGTTAGAGTCCTTAGTACCACATAAGCAGAAAAAGCCAGAAGTGGCACTGTGGCTCAAGAGGTAGAGCACTAGCCTTGAGCTGAAGAGCTAAGGGACAGCACCCAGGCCCCAGAGTTCAGGCCCCACAACCGACAAAAAAAAGATAAAGTAAAATTTGCCCATATTAATCTTAGGGTAAGAAGATGAAGAAATGTAGAAATGATTGGTAAATCTCATACAAATAAAGTAAATTCACCAGGTGCTAGTGGCTCATGCCTGTAATCCTAGCTACTCAGGAGGCTGAGATCTGAGGATATTGGTTCAAAGCCAGCCAGGGCAGTCCGTGAGACTATCTCCAGTAAACCACCAGAAAACCGGAAGTGGCGCTGTAGCTCAAGTGGTAGAGCACTCACCTTGAGCTGAAGAGCTGAGGGATAGTGCCCAAGCCTAGATATTCAAGCCCCATGACCGATTGAGAGAGAGAGAGTAAATTTAGGCAGTTAGACTGGACCATTATTCCAGGAATTTGGGATTAAAGTATGAAAGGTTCTTTCTCGATCTAGTGACTTCTTTTTCTGTTAACACCACGTTCTAGTCTTGCTGTGTCTGTTCAGTGGCTATAAAGAAACCTGTACAAACTGTAGTTTACAACAGTTATTCTCTTCACTTTCTCTCCCTATTTTATTGCAACTAACTAAACTTAGTTGATTTTAGTAATTCATATTTACCTTGGTAAGAAGCTATATTTCATCATGAATAATGCCTTATTTCTTTGGAGCCAGGTGCTATAATCCTAGCTACTCAAGAGGCTGAGATCCAAGGATTTTGGTTTGAATCCAACTCAGGCAGGAAAGTCTGCAAGATTATTTATTTGTGTGTGTTTTTTGTTTTGTTTTTCTTTTGTCAGTTGTGGGGCTTGAACTCTAGGCCTGGGCACTGTCCTTGCGCTCTTCAGCTCAAAGCGAGTGCTCTACCACTTGCCACAGCACCACTTCCAGTTTTCTGTTGGTTAATTGGAGATAAGAGTCTCATGGACTTTCCTGCCCAGACTGGCTTTGAACTATAGTTCTCTAGATCTCAGCCTCCAGCATACCCACTGGATCTCAGGTTCATATGTGTCTGTCTCTTTGTCTCTGACACTTTGTCTCTCATTTTTTTCCTACTTTTTCCTTTCCCTTCCCCTGCCCTCTTGCCAGTATTGGAGTTTGAACTCAGAATCACTTGGCTCAGCTTATTTACTTAGCTGGTAACTTTTAAGTACTTGGGCTGCACTGTACTTAAACATGCATTTCTTTTTTCTTTTTCTTTTCCTTTTTTCTTTGTCAGTTGTGGGGCTTGAACTCTGTGCCTGGGCACTGTCCCTGAGAGCTTCGTCTCAAGGCAAGCACTCTACCATTTGAGCCATAGCACCACTTCCAGTTTTCTGGTAGTTGAGATAAGAGTCTCACAGATTTTCCTGCCCAGGCTGGCTTTGAACCGAGATCCTCAGATCTCAGCCTCCTGAGTAGCTAGGATTATAGGCATGAGCTACCATAATCTACTTAATAATAACTTTTTTAAAAAAATGCAAAACATTTAAGAAAAAATTGCAATATTGCAGATTTTTGTTGGTGTCTTGTGATTCTTCTCTCTCCACTTCCCTAGCATGGGTTGTAGGTGTGCAGCACTACACTTGGTTTGAGTATCCTTTTTTTTTATTTGGTCAGCAAGTGCTCTACCACTTGAGCCACAGTGCCACTTCTGGTTTTCTGGTGGTCAATTGGAGATAAGAGTCTCACAGACTTTCCTGCCTGGGCTGCCTTTGAACTGTGATCCTCAGTTCTCAGCCTCCTGAGTAGCTAGGAGTACAGGCGTGAGCCACCAGCACCCAGCTAAGTTAACTTTTTGTGTGTGCAGGTTCTGTGGCCTAAACTCAGGGTATGGATGCTGTCCCTAAGGTTTTTTGCTCATGTACCACTTGAGCCACAGCTCCACTTTGAGTTTTTTAGTGGTCAATTTGGATAGTCTCATGGACTTTACTGCCCAGGTTGGCTTTGAACCAGTATTTTCAGATCTCAGCCTCTTGAGTAGCTAGTATTAACAGGTGTGATCCACCAGCATCCAGCTTTAGAGGTTATACTTTTAGAAGCAGAATGGCTTCCTGATAAGTTTAACTTTTTTTTCTTTGAGCAGGGATGGGTTTGTTGGGAAGGTTGAACAGCCCAAATTTATCTTTTTGAGTCAGTATTATCCCTTATAGTATTGTGATAGTATAGTAAAAGTTAACTTTATTTAATCTTGACCCTTAGTACTTAGCTTCCCCCCCCCTCCAAACAGATTTATTTATTGTATATAGAAAATTCTAGGGTTGGGAAGGTGGCTCAGTGGTAGAGCGCTTGCCTTGCATGCCTGAGGCTCTGGGTTTGATTCCTCAGCACCACATAAGCAAAAAGCCGAAAGCGGCGCTGTGGCTCAAGTGGTAGAGCGCTAGCCTTGAGCTGAAGAGCTGAGGGGCAGGCCTAGAGTTCAGGCCCCACGACTGGACCAAAAAAAAAAAAAAGCTTATAGTCAGTATTCAGGACCCAAGACTGGCACCAAGAAGAAAGTTTCTTTAGGTTGGGGTTGTATGTAACTCAGTGGTAGAGCACTTACCTGCTGCCATGTGTGAGCTCCTAGGTTTGATCCCCAGCACCAAAAAATTAAATTTAATTAAATTTTAGAAAAGCTTCCATGTCTCAAAAGCATCTGAAACAAGAAATTCTGAGAAATGATGGATAAGTGCTCATGATTAATGAGTGATCCAGGAGCGTTAAATTACACTTTTTTTTTTTTGTTTGTTTGTTTGGGTTGTGAGGCTTGAATTCTCAGCCTAAGTAGCATTGTCCTTCAGCTCTTCAGCTCAAGGCTAGTGCTCTACCACTTGAGCCACAGCGTCACTTCCGGCTTTTTCTGTTTTTATGGAATGCTGAGGAATCACCCAGAGCCTCATACATGCAAGCCTACCACTGAGCCACCTTCCCAGCCCCAAGTTACACATTTAATTGTGATCTAAGAACACATTGTTTTAAACATATAATCTCAGTTTTTCTATCTCAAAAGTAGTGTAGAGCTGGAGTTGGGAATCTAGCAAGCATGAAGCCCTCAGTTTAAGCCCTAATGCTGAAAAAAACAAAAATCAAAAAACAGCAGTAGAGTCTGGAATGGTATCTTTGAAATCAGAGGAGAGGTAGATTTAGACTTGGGAATCTAAAGCAATTTTAGTTTGCAGGATTCTTATTATCTAGGTCTCAAACAGTGAGTGCCATTATTCATTACTTTAACAGAAACAAGGCTAGTCCCAGAAATACCAAAACAAAGATTGTCTAATAAATAGGATTGGAAACAAAAAGATCTAGTGTGGGAGATTAGATGTCAAAGTATTCTTTCTGGACAATTTTACTGAGAGAATGTACTAGATAAAACTGGCAAGTCAGTGTGACTTTTTAGTTCTAGAAGTTCAGTCCCTCTCCAAAAGGCCTGTGTGGAGGGGGTGTGTGGGGTGTGTGTGTGTGTGTGTCCTGGGGCAAAGATACACAGTTGACATTTTCCATTTCTTCAAGCAGCTGTCAGTATTTCTTCTGCCTACTTTTCAGTACCTGCTCTTGCAAGAATGGACCATCAGTGGAGTTGTGACTGAACCTCCTTTTCTTGTTAATCCTCAGCCAGGACCGTATATATGATTTTAGTTAAAATGAGCTTCCTCCTTTACAACTATCATTTATACTCAGTGGATGCTAGGTTCTAATGTCTTTACCAGTGGAGTTAATCACTTCTTTTCCAAGCTTCCAACAGCCTAATGGAGTAACAAGAAACATTTAGAATTAAATCTTTTTCTTTTTTTTTGTCGGTCATGGGGCTTGAACCCTGGGCCTAGGCGCTGTCCCCCAGCTCTTCAACTCAAGGCTAGCACCCTACCACTTGAGCCACAGTTCCACTTCAAGCTTTTTTGGTACTTAATTGGAGATGAGACTCTCATAGGCTTTCCTGCTCTGGCTAGCTTCGAACCACAGGTCCCCAGACTTCAGCTTCTTGAGTGGCTAGGATCACAGGCATGAGCTGCCAGTGCCTTGGCATGCGCTCACACACACTCTCTCTCTTTCCCTCACTCCCTCCCCTCCCCCCTATTTTTTGGTTGGTTGTAGAGCTTGAACTCTGGGCCTAGGCACTGTCCCTGAGCCCTTTGAGTCACAGCACCAACTTCTGGTTTTCTGGCAGTTAATTGGAGCTAAGAGTCTCAAAGACTTTCCTGCCTGAGCTGGCTTTGAACCATGATCTTCAGATCTTAGCTTCCTGAGTAGCTAGGATTATAGGTATGAGCCACCAGCTCCTGGCTTTCATCTCTCATTCTTTTGTTGTTGTTGTTGTTGTTGTTGTTGGTGGTGGTGGTGGTGGTCATAGGCCTTGAACTCTGGGCCTGAACTCTGTCCCTCAACTCTTCACCTCAAGGTTAGTGCTCTACCACTTGAACCATAGGGCCACTTCTGGTTTTCTGGTGGTTTGTTGGAGATAAGAGTCTCATGGACTTTCCTACTTGGGCTGGCTTTGAACTGTGATCCTCAGGTCTCAACCTCCTGAGTAGCTAGGATTATAGGCATGAGCCACCAGCACTTGGCTTCATCTCTCATTCTTGAAGCTAGTTATTACTTTGTATCTTTGTTTTGAGATAAGGAAAATATTTTGCTGAGATTTTGATTTCTCTTAGTTCTGGTTTTCTTTATCCTATGTGTTTACTGTCTTTTCCGAGTGAATTAGGACCTCTTAAGTGTCCTTGGATTTATTTCTTCAGTGTAGAAGAGAAATTTAACTTTTTAATCAACTCTCACCATTGGAAATACTATAATTTTTCATTTTCTTATCTAGTGAGCCAGACCGAGGAAGGCTAACTCCTTCTCCAGACATCATTGTTTTGTCTGACAATGAGGCTTCCAGTCCCCGTTCCAGCTCCCGAATGGAAGAAAGACTCAAAGCAGCCAACCTAGAGATGTTTAAGGTAAAAAGATTTTTTTTTCTTTCATATCCCAGTTCTCTTTTATTCTGTAAGAGTCCTAGTTCTGTTTTTTGTTTTGTTCTTTACTCAGCTATTGGTGAAAATTTTTTGGTGATTCTGAACTTCAAGGGGAAGACATTTTAAAAGGAACTAGTAGGGGCTGGGAAGGTGTGTCAGTGGTAGAGTTGCTTGCCTTGCATGCATGAGGCCCTGGGTTCGATTCCTCAGCACCACATAAGCAGAAAAAGCTGGAAGTGGCTCTGTGGCTCAAGTGGTAGAGTGCTAGCCTTGAGCTGAAGAGCTCAGGGACAGCGCCCAGGCCCAGAGTTCAGGTCCCACCACCAACAAAAAAAAAAAAGGAATTACTAGATGCAAAGAAGATAGTTTGAGGAAATATGTATAAAGCTGGAGGTATAGCTCATGTGGTAGAGTGAGCCAGTCTAGCAAGCATAAGGCCTTGAGTTCAAATCCCCAGTATTACAAAAAGGGATGGGAAGGTATGGAGGGAAGGAGTAAAAAGCATGTATATAAGCAGTTATATTCAGTTTTTTTTGGAAAACATAAAACTTCACAATTCCATTTGTGTATATTGTATATAAACAGAAAATGTGGCTTTGGGCTAAGAATGTGGCTTAGTGGCAGAGTGCTTGCCTAGCATGCATGAAGCCCTGGGTTCGATTCCTCAGTACCACATAAATAGATAAAACGGAAAGTGGCACTGTGGCTCAAGTGGTAGAGAGTGTTATCCTTGAGCAAAAGAAGCTAAGGGACAGCACTCAGCTCTGAGTTTGAGCCCCAGGACTGGCAAAAAAAAAAAAAAAGAAAGAAAAAGAAAATGTGGCTTTAAAAAACTTAAAACATTTTAAAATTCTTCTATTTTGCTAGGAGTCTAACCCATTATTGGTTATATGTGGTTTCTGCTTCTATAAGCACTTTTTTTTGAGTACCTACTGAATGCTAGGGACTGTGTGGCACCCTAGGGATACAAAGATGACAGTTTCATCATCACTTCTTATAGAAGATGAAGGTTTTTCAGACCTAAGAAACACATCATCTCAGCTTGGAATATGGCTTATTGGTGCTGTGGCTCAAGTGGTACAGCGCTAGCCTTGAGCTGAGCAAAAGAAGCTCAGGGACAGTGCCCTGGCCCTGAGTTCAAGCCCCAGGACTGGCAAAAATGAAAGAATGAAAGAAATACATTATCTCCTGCATGCAGGGATTCTGGGTAACTGATGCTTTAGCTGATAATCTCCATGTTTCCTTAGGGGAAAGGCATTGAGGAACGGCAACAGCTTATCAAGCAGCTGAGGGATGAACTGCGACTGGAAGAAGCTCGATTGGTGCTTTTAAAGAAACTGAGACAGAGTCAACTACAGAAAGAGAATGTGGTCCAAAAGGTAATATGCCTGGAACATAAAGGACAAGAGAAAATAAAAGAACTGGTTTCAGTGTGATAGAGTCAGCTCTGTGGTTCATTCTTCTCTGGTTCCATAGGTTTTAATCATTAGTAGTGGATTTGTTTTCCCCATTGTGCTATTGGGAGATTGATTCCAGGGATTTGTATGTGTTATCTAAGCAAGCCCAGTATCTCTTGAGCTATACCCTCAGCCCTTTTTGTTTTTTTGAGAAAGAACTTTTCAGCTACCTTTAACCAGTCCTCAAAGTTGGACTCCAGCTTCCACTCCCTAATACATGGGATTGCCATAGGTTTTAAATCTTTGTACATACAATAACTAGGACAATGAAGGTGATATGGTTGGAGTTTCAATAAAGAGCATTCCTAGACATACACCATCATGCCCAACTTTTTTTTTTTTTACTTTGGGCATTATTAAGAAAAACTTAATTACATTTTTTTCCTACTGGTCAACAAGAGCTTCATGCTAACAAGAAAATTCAAGTTCTAGAAATGTACAGAGTCTACCTATAATTTATTGCCTTTTTCTCCTTTTCTGTCTTCCAGACTCCAGTTGTACAGAATGCAGCGTCTATTGTACAACCATCTCCTGCCCATGTGGGACAACAAGGTTTATCCAAACTTCCCTCCCGGCCTGGGGCCCAAGGGGTTGAAGCTCAAAATTTGAGAACATTACAGGTATGTGATTCATAATGGGATCATAGCTATCATGTCTCTAGGGACTTCTGTGGAGATTATAGAAGTTGTTGCTATTACTCCAAATAGTCCTGTTACTCCAAATAGTTCTCTTGGTAGTTGATGAAATAGCGTGGGTTAGTCTGCAACAAATAATTATCTTTATAGTTTTCCTTCTCTACAACAGGTCTCTAGCTTTTCTAGAGAAGAATTAGATAATTTTCTCTCTCTCTCTTTTTTTTTTCCAGTTGTGGGACTTGAACTTTAGGCCTAGGTGCTGTCTGTGAGCTCTTCAGCTCAAGACTATCAGTCTACCTCTTGAGCTACAGAGCCACTTTTGGTTTTTTGGTGGTTTATTGGAGATAAGAGTCTCATGGAGCCAGGCGCTGGTGGCTCACACCTGTAATCCTAGCTACTCAGGAGGATTGAGGTTCAAAGCCAGACTGGGCAGGAAAGTCCCTGAGACTATTATCTCCAGTAAACCACTAGAAAACTGGAAGTGGTGCTGTGGCTCAAACGGTAGAGCGCTCGCCTTGAGCTGAAGAGTGCAGGGACAGTGCCCAAGCCTAGAGTTCAAGCCCCACGACCGGCCAAAAAAAAAAGGAGTCTCATGGACTTTCCTGCCCGGGCTGGGCTTTGAACCGTGATCCTCAGATCTCAGCCTCCTAAGTAGCTAGGATTACAGGTATGAGCTACCAGCTTAATTTTCTATCTTAACTGTGTAAGATTAGATAGTTTATACCAAAAGGACTCCCTAGTCACTAATCGGCATTTACAGTTACGGTAGGCTTACCCATAGACCATCAGACAAGTTTGACTGTTCTTATGCATCTGTATATTACTAACAGTATTTTGTCTTTTACATTTTACTGGGCATTATACCACCTGTAACATTCTTTTCCTTATCTTCCCCTTCAGGGTCACAGTGTCATCCGTTCAGCGACCAATACAACCCTCCCACACATGTTGATGTCCCAACGTGTTATTGCACCAAATCCAGCCCAACTACAGGGCCAACGAGGCCCACCCAAGCCTGGCATTGTACGCACCACAACACCTAACATGAATCCCGCCATCAGTTATCAACCAGTAAGAGAGACCCATAATGTGGAGCAGAGAAATTCTTTCTTTGCTTTTCTTATTGAAAAAAGGCTAAAAGGTCTTAAGTCTTTGTATATACAGAAACTTAGGACAATGGGGGTGATTTGGATGGAATTTTGAATAAAGAGCATTCCCAAAGGTTTGAGGAATTATATGAAAATGGTGGTGGAGAAGAGAGGTAGGCTATACAGCAGAGCGGCAGTAAGCTAAAATCTGCCTGAAATGAAAGAGAGGCATATCAGTAATAAGCATAAATATATATGACAGAAAGCATCCCCAATCTTTTGTTTTCCCCTCTTCGCAGGTCTAGCTCATGGATGTTGTCATTCTTTTTTTGGATTCTTACTATAAAGAAACTAAAGTAGCCGGGCGCCGGTGGCTCACACCTTGTAATCCTAGCTACTTAGGAGGCTGAGATATGAGGATCGAGGTTCAAAGCCAGCCTCAAAGCCAGCCCGGGCAGGAAAGTCCGTGAGACTCTTATATTCAATTAAAAAAAAAAAAAAAAAACTAGAAAACCAGAAGTGGTGCTGTGGCTCAAGCGGCAGAGTGCTCACCTTGAGCTGAAGAGTGCAGGGACAGCACCCAAGCCCAGAGTTCAAGCCCATGACTGACCAAATAATAAGTAAATAAATACTAAGTATAGCCAGGCACCGCTGGCTCACATCTGTAATCCTAAACTACTCAGGAGGCTGAGATCTGAGGATTGCAGCTCAAAGCCAGCCCCCGCAGGAAAGTCTGTGAAACTCTTATTCCAATAAACCACCGCAAAACCGGAAATGGCGCTGTAGCTCAAGTGGTAGAGCACTAGCCTTGAGCTGAAGAGCTGAGGGACAGTGCTCAGGCCCAGAGTTCAAGCCCCACAACAGATTAAAAAAGAAAGACAAGCCCCACAACAGATTAAAAAAGAAAGAAAGAAACTTAAGTAGTCCCCAGAAGGATCAGATAGTATCCTTTGCCAAAAAAAGCAAGAATTGATCCTCATCCACATACCAGCCATCACTGATAACTATTTCCCATCTCTTTCAGCAGTCAAGTTCTTCTGTTCCTTGTCAGCGTACAACATCCTCTGCCATCTATATGAACCTTGCTTCCCATATCCAGCCAGGGACTGTGAACAGAGTGTCCTCACCACTTCCTAGCCCTAGTGCTATGACTGATGCTGCCAACTCACAGGCTGCAGCCAAATTGGCTCTTCGGAAACAGCTAGAAAAGACACTCCTGGAGATTCCACCTCCAAAACCTCCTGCTCCCTTGCTTCACTTCCTGCCTAGTGCAGCCAATAGTGAGTTCATCTATATGGTAGGCTTGGAAGAAGTCGTACAGAGTGTCATTGATAGCCAAGGTAAGACTTTATTCTTCTTGAGCAAGAAGTTGCCAAGTCTCGTTGGTCTGTGCAGAGTATCACAGGATACTTTGAGATGATAAATGATAGCTCCTTATTATTACTAATTACCTACCTACCTCTCTTCACTTGTATACAAGTGGTTTGGCAACATCCTATAGAAATAGTTCTGTGTGGGGCTGGGAAGGTGGCTCAGTGGTAGAGCACTTGCCTTGCATGCCTGAGGCCCTGGATTCAATTCCTCAGCACCACATAAGCAAAAAGAAAAATCTGGAATGGCGCTGTGGCTCAAGTGGTAGAGCGCTAGCCTTGAGCTGAAGAACTGAGGGACAGCACCCAGGCCCAGAGTTCAGGTCCCACAACTGGAAAAAACAAAAACAGAAATAGTTCTCTCTCTCTCTCTCTCTCTGTGTGTGTGTGTGTGTGTGTGTGTGTGTGTGTGTATTTTGTACATTTTCTCAATATATTCTTTTAAATGTGGAATGGTATAACCCAGTGTTAAGAACACTTGCTTTAAGCTAGGTTCCACTGGCTCACACCTATAACCCTAGCTACTTAGGAGTATGAGATCTGAAGATCACAGTCAGCCTAGACAAGAAAGTTCACAAGACTCTTACGTCCAGTTAACTGCTAGAAGTGGATCTGTGGCTCAGGTTGGTAGAGTGCCAACCTTGAGCAAAAAGCTCAGGGATAGCACCCAGATCTTGAGTTTGAGCCCTAGGACTGACACACACACACAAGAGAAAAAGAAAAAAACACTTGCTCAGTATGCATACCACCCTGGATTCTATCTACAACACCATATTAAAAAAGAAAGATAAGGGGCTGGGAAGATGGCTCGGTGGTAGGATGCTTGCCTTGCATTCATGAGGCCTTGGGTTTGATTCCTCAGCACCACACAAACAGAAACATCCAGAATTGGCTCTGTAGCTCAAGTGTTAGAGTGCTCGCATTGAGCTGAAGAGCTGAGGGACAGTGCCCAGGCACTGACTTCAAGTCCCAGAACTGGCAAAAAAAGATGAGCCAAGCACCAGTGGCTCACACCTGTAATCCAAGCTACTTAGGAGGCTGAGATCTGAGGATCATGGTTCAAAACCAGCCCCAGCACAAAAAGTCGGTGAGACTCATATCTCCAATAAGCCATTAGAAAACCAGAAGTGGCACTGTGACTTTAGCGGTAGAGCCACTAGCCTTGAGCTGAAGAGTACAGGGACAGTGCCTAGGCCCAGAGTTCAAGCCCCATGACCGGCCAAAAATAAATACTTAATAATGAAAAAGAAAGATGGCCTGGGACTCGTGGCCCACACCTGTAATCCTAGCTACTCAGGAGGCTGAGATTTGAGGATTATGGTTCAAAGCTAGCCTGGTTAGGAAAGTCTAGGAGACGACTCTTAACTACAATTAACTACTAGAAAACTGGAAGTGATGCTGTAACTCAAAGTAGTAGAGTGCCAGCCTTAAGCAAAAGAATTTAAGGACAACATCCAGGCACTGAGTTCAAACTCCATGATTAGAAAGGGGGGATGGGGGGAAGACCACTAGAAAACCAGAAGTGGTACTGTGGCTCAAGTGGTAGAGTGCTAGCCTTGAGCTGAAGAGCTGAGGGACAACACCCAGGCCCAGAGCTCAAGCCCCACAACTGACAAAAAAAAAAAAATCATAAAATGACAATTCAGACACTGATAACTAAATTGTTAAATGTATTTAACAGAATAAGTGCAGTGTGAAGTAAGGAGATCCTAAGAACCACAATTATTGGTTTGGGGGCTGGAAAGGTGGCTCAGTGCTTGCCTTACAATGCATGAGGCCCTGAGTTCAATTCCTCAGCACCACAAAGCAGAAAAGGCTGGAAGTGGCACTGAAGAGCAGAGGGACGCACCCAGCCCAGAGTTCAAGTCCCATGACTGACAAAAAATTACTGGTTTGATTCTGAATTGACAATTTCTTCTTGTTCTTGTTCTTGTTCTCCTCTTCCTGCTCCTCCTCCTCCTCCTCCTTTCTTCTTTCTTCTTCTTCCTTTTTTTTTTTTTGTCAGTCATGGGGCCTAGGTACCGTCCCTCAGCTCAAGGCGAGCGCTCTACCACTTGAGCCACAGTGCCACTTCCAGTTTTATGGTGGTTTATTGGAGATAAGAGATTCATAGAGGGGCTAGGAAGGTAGCTCAGTGATAAAATTCCCTGGGTTCAATTCCTCAGCACCACATAAAACAGAAAAAGCCGGAAGTGGTGCTGTGGCTCAAGTGGTAGGTAGAGTGTTAGCCTTGAGCTGAAGAGCTGAAGGACAACACCCAGGCCCAGAGTTCAGGCCCCACGACCAACCCAAAAAAAAAAAGTTTCATGGACTTTCCTGCCCAGGCTGGCTTTGAACCACAATCCTCAGATCTCAGCCTCCTGAGAAGCTAGGATTACAGGCATGAGCCACTGGCACCCGGCAATATTTTCTTCTTAATAATATAATACAGTAGGAAATCTGAAGCCATAGATTCTTGTCCCAAGGTAATCAGTAAAAGATCTTTGTTTCACACTGGACACGGTTGTACAGGTTGTACATGCTTGTCATTCCAGCTACTTCAGAAGCTGAGGCAGGAGGATTAGGAGCTCAAGGCAAGCTTAGCTTTAAGCTAGGTTCCAATGGCTCACACCTATAACCCTAGCTACTCAGGAGAATGAGATCTGAAGATCACAGTTCACAGTCAGCCTAGACAAGAAAAAAAAAAACAAAAACTTTCCTACTACTATCTGAATTCCCTAATAAAAGTTTTTTTTTTTTTTTTGGTTGGTCATGGGGCTTGAACTCTGGGCCTGGGCGCTGTCCCTCAGCTCTTCAGCTCAAGGCAAACGCTCTACCACTTGAGCTACAGCGCCACTTCCGGTTTTCTGGTGGTTTTTATTGGAGATGGGAGTCTCATGGTCTCTCCTGCCCAGGCTGGCTTTGAACTGCGATCCTCAGATCTCAGCCTCCTGAGTAGCTAGGATTACAGGCGTGAGCCACCAGCGCCCGGCTAATAAAAGTATTTTATAAATTGTATTCCTTTATCATAGAGTATCTTAATTCAGCAGAATAAATTTACTTGGTGAAGAGAGTAGGAAATGTGAAACAAATGATTACTATTTTTATTGGCATTTAGGCAAAAGCTGTGCCTCGCTTCTGCGGGTTGAACCCTTTGTATGTGCCCAGTGCCGCACAGATTTCACCCCTCACTGGAAGCAAGAAAAGAATGGTAAGATTCTGTGTGAGCAGTGTATGACATCCAACCAGAAGAAAGCTCTAAAAGCTGAACACACCAACCGGCTGAAAAATGCTTTTGTTAAAGCCCTACAGCAGGAACAGGTAAGAATTTTGACTTCTCAACAACCTCTATAGGCTTGGTTTCTCCAAAAGGTTGTTGCTTCTAGTTTAGAATGCTTCTTACGATTCCCAAAGACCTCTGACCTGCAACCGTTTTTTCCCTCATCGTTCTGTCTTTTCCATTTTCATTTGACTTTCTGATTAAGTTCTGATTAGGTTCTATTCCTCAGTACCACATAAATAGATCTAGAGGAAGCTGGACACCGGTGGCTCACACCTGTAATCCTAGCTACTTAGGAAGCTGAGATCTGAGGATCATGGTTCAGAGCCAGCTGAGGCAAGGAAGTCCATGAGACTCTTACTTCCAATAAACCACTAGAAAGCCAGAAGTGGTGCTATAGCTCAAGTGATAGAGCACTTGCCTTAAGCTGAAGAGCTCAGGGACAGTGCCAAAGCCCAGAGTTCAAGCCCCACAACAACAGAGCAAAAAACAAAAAAAACTAGAGAAGCTGGGCAGTGATGGCTCATGCCTGTACTCCTAGCTACTCAGGAGGCTGAGATCTGAGGATCACAGTTCAAAGCTAGCCCGAGCAGGAAAGCCTGTGAAACTTTTTTTTTTTTTTTTGTCAGTCGTGGAACTTGAACCCTGGGCCTAGGCTCAAGGCAAACACTTTACCACTGAGCCACAGCACCTCTTCCAGGTTTCTGGTGGTTTATTGGAGATAGGAGTCTCACAGACTTTTGTGCCCTGGCTGGCTTTGAACTGGGATCCTCAGATCTCAACCTCCTGAGGTTGAGCTAGGATTACAGGCATGAGCCACTGGTGCCCAACTCTGAAACTCTATAGAGGCCCAGAGTTCAAGCCCCAGGACCAACAAAAATAAATAAATAAATAAATAAAAATAAAAGCGATCTAGAGGATATAGTTCAGTGCCAGCCCAGGCAGAAAAGTTTGCTAGACTCCATCTCCAAAACAGCCAACAAGAAACAGGGCTTAGAGGCATGTCACCAGTGGTAAAACTATGGACTTAGTGACAGAGTGCTTGCCTAACATTCATGAAGCCCTGGGTTTAATTCTTCAGTACCACATAAACAGAAAAGGCCAGAAGAGGCACTGTGGCTCAAGTGGCAGAGTGCTAGCCTTGAGCAAAAGAAAGAAGCTCAAGGACAGTGCCCAAGGCCCTAAGTTCAGTCCCCAGGACTGACAAAATAACAAGTGGTAAAACTACAATCTAGCCAATCGACTGCCAAAAATAAAAAATTCCTCTGTCAATTTTATGTCCTCAAATGGAATTTTTTGGGGGGAGGATGGGTCTGGGCTTGAACTCCTGCCCCTGAGGGCTCACTTAGCTTTTTTGCTCACAGCCACATGTACACTTCAAGATTTTTGCTAGTTAATTGGAGATGAGTCTCCTAGAATTGTCTTCATAGGCTGGCTTTGAACCTCAATCCTCAGCTCTCCCACCTGAGTAGCTCGAAGTATAGATATAAGCCACTGGTGTTTGGATAAACAAATGGATTTGGATGAGGGGTTTTTATATTTGTACTAGAAATCTCTTTGCAAGAAAAAGATTATCTGAAAGTCACTCTTGACAAGGATGACAAATAGGAAAATAAACATTAGGAACTTCAGATCCTCTTTTGCAGAACTAGGAATTGAATTTAGTGTCCTTGTGAATACCAGGCAAGTGCTCTACCACTTGAGCTATATCCTCAGCCTTTTGTTTGTTCATTTTGTTTTTGAGATAGGGTCTTGCTTACTTTGCCTTCTAGCAATCTTCCTTTCTCTGCTTCCTGTATAGCTGGAATTCAGGTGTACATCACTACACCTAGCCTCCAGTTCTTTTCTCTATCCCATTTTTCCTCCACCAACTGTGAGAATCCTTTGGGTGTTATCATGGACTTTCTGGAAAGTAGATAGGAGTCAACAGTAAAATCACCAATAATTCATCAGGCTTAATTTCATTAGCTTATCATTACTATCCAGCTTTATCCAAATAGCTTGTGGGTGTGTGTGCGTGTGTGTAACTCTGCTTCTGAGGCTTGAATTCAGGGTCTTAAACTCTTGATTAGCTGTTTTACTCAGTGCTGGCACTTTACTACTTGAATAGTTTACAAAAAGAAAAAAGAGCCATACCTCCAATTCTGGCTTTTTGCTAAAGGTAAGAGTCTTGGTTTTGTCTACCTGGGCTAGCTTTGAGCCAAGATCTTGAGATCCTCAGATTTCAGAGTAGCAAGGATTACTGACATGATCCCCAGCACCCAGGTTTCAACCATCTTTTTTTTTTTTGGTGCTGGTACTGGAGCTTGAACTTAGGGCCTAAGCACTGTACCTAATGGGTTTTTTTTCTTTTGCTCAGGGTTCTGCCACTTGAGCCACAGCTCCATTTCCAGCTTTTTTTTGGTGGTTAATTTGGAGATGAGTCCTATGGACTTTCCTGCATAGGATCCAGATCTCAGCCTCCTGAGTAGCTAGGATTACAGGCATGAGCCACTATCACCCAGCTCCAACCATCTTCTTAGAGCCTTTTCTGTAGAAAAAGGGGAATCTCTTCAGGGTAGCATGTTGGCTGCTTATACCCAGAGATCTCAATGTAGCTACCCCACCAGACTCTTGCCTTTTTCATACTTCTCTAACTAGCTGGTATTATTAGAGATAAGATACATAAATACTCTAGTTTTGAAATTGAGTGGTGGTCTGCCCAACCTGAGCTGATGATTCCTAACAGGAAATTGAACAGCGATTACAGCAGCAGGCAGCCCTCTCTCCTACTACGGCTCCAACTGTGTCCAGTGTCAGTAAACAAGAGACCATCATGAGACACCATACACTTCGGCAGGTGAGGAACTTTTCCCTGACCCTATCCTGATTTCTCTTGAGCATTTATCAACCATTTATTCTAATTTATCCTTCTATGGGAAGTCATACCACTCTATTATACTCCTGCATCTTTTCCTCTTTTTTTTTGGTTGGTCATGGGGCTTGCACTGAAGGTACTGTCCCTGATCTTTTGTTCAAGTTGCTCTACCACTTTGAGCCACAGTGACACTTCCGGTTTTCTTGTAGATAATTAGAGATGAGTCTTAGAGACTTCCTGCCCAGGCTGGGTCTGAACTGCAATCTTCAGATTTCGGCATCCTGAGTAGCCAGGATTATAGGCACAAGCCAACAGCATCTATCTTTCTTAACTTCTTACCATGGTAAAGTTGTATTAAATGTCTGTTTATTATTACAGGCCCCACAGCCCCAGAGCAGCCTCCAGCGTGGTATACCCACATCTGCCCGCTCCATGCTTTCAAACTTTGCACAGGCGCCCCAGTTGTCTGTGCCAGGTGGCCTCCTTGGTATGCCAGGTAAGAGGTATTTCTGCTGAAAACTTTTCTCAGCAGTCAACTGGTTAGTGCACAATTTTCTCTCTCTCTCTCTCTCTCTTTGTTTCAAGTGGTACTATTTTTGTTTGTGAGGGTTTTTTTGTTTGTTTTTTGGTGCCTATCTTAGGGCTTGCTCAGGGCCTAGGTGCTGTCCTTCAGGTTTTGTGCTCAAGCCTAGTGCTCCACCACTTCAGCCCCAGCTCCACTTCTGGCTTTTTTAGTGCTTAATTGGAGATGAGAATCTCATAGGCTTTTCTACCCAGGCTGGCTTTGAACTGTGATCCTCAGATCTCAGCCTCCCGAGTAGCTAGGATTACAGATGGGAACCACCAGTGCCTGGCAGTACTCGGGTTTGAACTGAGAACATCATGCTTATTTGGAAGATATTACCTCTTAAACCATCAATGCCCTCGGCACTTTTTGCTTGGGGCCTGTTGTCACCCATGTACTTGGAATCACCCACCTCCTACATAGCTGGATTTTTTTAGATTTGTACTATCCCACCCAACCCAACTAGAGTGCAGTTCTTTTTTTTTTTTTTTTTAACTCGGGGCTTTGCTCTTGCTCAGCTTGCTTTTTGAGCCATGTCTCCAACCCAGCATTTTGCCAGTATTTTGGGGATGGAATGAATCTCCCAGATTCCTGCCTTGAGATAGCTCTGAACAGTGATCCTCCATATCTGAGCCTTCTGAATAGCTGGAATTATGAGTCATCAGTACCCAGTTAGTGCACAGTTCTTTAGCAACTCCTTCAGGTGAATTGTTCCTGTCTTTTGTTTTTTTGTTCTTTCCATAGAGCGTTATTTCCTTACTCCGTTCTTTTTCAGCAAATGATAGCTAAATCATACTATACCACCCACAGTGCAATAAGGTCTTCCTAGTGATGATGACACTGTCCCTACAATTAAATTATAAATTTACTGTCTAATGCCTTCATAGGGCATGTGGATATTGATCCCTTTAAGCTAAGACAGCCAAGTCAATTGCTGATTTGAATCCAGCAATGCTTCTCCAACCATGAGTGGCCCCTAAATTAGAAAATTCATTGATTCTGTTACAAGAATTTAAAATAAAAATGAGAAAGAAACATTTTGTGCTCCCCATGCAGGAAAATAGGTTAAAGACTGATTCTTTTTGTCGTTTTTTTTTTTTCTTTTCTGTCAGTCATGGGGCTTGAACTCTGGGCCTAGGCGCTGTTCCTAAGTTCTTCAGTTCAAGACCAGTGCTTTCCCACTTGAGCCCTAGCATCACTTCCAGTTTTCTCGTAGTTAATTGGAGATAAGAGCCTCACAGACTTTCCTGCCAGGGCTGGCTTTGAACCACCATCCTCAGATCTCAACCTCCTGAGTAGCTAGGATTACAAGCATGAGCCACGGGTGCCCAGCACCTTTTTTTTTTTTGGTCGGTCGTGGAGCTTGAACTCTGGGCCTGAGCACTGTCCCTCAGCTCTTCAGCTCAGGGCAAGCGCTCTACCACTTGAGCTACAGCACCACTTCCAGTTGTCTGGTGGTTTATTGGAGATAAGAGTTTCATGGACTTTCCTGCCCAGGCTAGCTTTGAACCGAGATCCTCAGATTTCAGCCTTCTGAGTAGCTAGGATTACAGGCGTGAGCCACTGGTCCTGGCATTTTTTTGTCTTTATCATTGTTCTCTTAGCACCGTTCAGCCAGTCTCTCCTATGCCATCAGGACTGTTCATTCTTCCTGATCATATTAAAATTTCAGGAAACTCTTTCCTTAAAGTTTTTTTTTGGTTTTTTTTTTTTGGGGGTCCGGTCATGGGGCCTGAACCCTGGGCTGGGGCACTGTCCCTCAGCTCTTCAGCTAAAGGCTAGCACTCTACCACTTGAGCCACAGCGCCACTTCCGGCTTTTTTCTTTTTTGCTTATGTGGTGCTAAGGAATCGAACCCAGGGCCTCATGCATGCAAGGCAAGCGCTCTACCACTAAGCCACCTTCCCAGCCCTTTTTCCTTAAAGTTTATGAGGGTATTTCATAGTGGAAAAAAAACTAGCAAAATCTGGTTAGGTACAGGCAATTTCTAATATTTCCTATCCATCTCCATCCTTACAGAAGGCAATATCATTCTCTTAATTCCTGCCCTCCGCTTTTGTCTCCTGGGTCTAGGTGTCAACATTGCATACTTGAACACTGGCATCGGAGGACACAAAGCTCCCAGTTTGGCAGACCGACAGCGGGAATACCTTTTAGACATGATCCCTCCCCGGTCTATATCGCAGTCCATTAGTGGACAGAAATAACGCCTGTTCCACTTGTACTGCCTAACCTTGAACCCTTTACCCCTTTCCTCTCCTGTTGCTCCCAACTTCCGTCGCATGCAGTGCCTGTACTGGTGCCTACCATACACGGAAAGCAAAACTGAAAAAACAGAAGACAAAAAATAGAAATCAACAAGAAAATACACGCCCTGCCCCACCACCTCCCCTTTGTTTCATACTGCTGCGATCTGTTACCCTGCCACTCAATCTTCTCTCTTCAATTCTTTAACAATGAGGTGGATCTTTGCCTCTGATAGAGGTCAGAATGAGGTCCTGGGGAGAATTTAAGCCCTCTGTCATGTGTTTCTAAAGTTTGTTTTATGCTATAATTATTACCATTTTTAATTATATTGTGTGTCCTCCCTTTGTTCAGTGGACGGTTATATCTCCCCCCACACACAACTTTTTTCTGTTTTCTTTTTGTCCCTTCCCTCTCCTCATAATCTCTCCCCTTCTTCTTCCCTTCCTTCCTGATTTTTTTTTTGTAAACATAAATGACATTCAGTTCAGTGATAGGAGCATTGCAGGTTGCAGTAGGGTCCTCCACTGCCAAGTAGGACATGATTGAGAGTTAGAGGCAGAGGTTTTGAATGCACTTAACCTGAGTTGTGGGGTGAATGACATCAAGCAGGAGGAATAATACCCAGTTGTGGGTGTTTGGGGGCTGGACTGTTGGGGAGGCAGTGTTTAATATTAAAGTCAGGCTCTAAGGATGAGGGGGGAAAAGCCTAGAGAGCGAAGCTTTAAAATACTCCGGAGTTTATCCATGTGAGGGGGCAGGGAGGTATGATAATGTAACATAATGGAGGACAGAGCAGGGCCTGGCCTTCTGGAGCTGGGGGATTAAAATTGGTCTCCAGTGGGAGCATGAAAGTATTCCAGGCCAACTAGTCCAAAATTGTTTTCTCTGTAAAATTGTTTCCTACCCCACTTGCATCCCCTTGTTGAAAACCATAATCTCCCCCCCCCCAGCCCCATCTATAATAGAGAGGAACAATTGTTCCCAAGCTGAAGTTGGCTGGATTCCTACAAGTTGGAATGGGCATGAGTCAGATGACAGAAAGAAAGGAGAAAACAGGAGAATGAGATATCTCCCCCAACACTTGAGATTCTCACATTTGTCTCTCCCTTTGCCCTCTGAGTGCCGAGATGGTTGAGGGCCTCTAACCAGGTTGGAGTCCTGCCCTGACCCTGCTGCACTGACTGCAGAACCAGTTGCTCAAAGCCAACCAGCTCATGTCAAACCAGCTTTGGACCTCTGCTATCCAGGTGTTGTCTTCTCCTTCCCCCAGAATTTTTTAATTTTGCTTTTTTATTTTGTTTTATTCTTCAGCGCTACTAATGTAGAGAATGAATTGAATTGTGCAATGTTGCAGATCTGGGGATTAGAGAGATTAGCATCCCATTTGTCCACTTGGTTGGGTAAGAGGGAGGGGACCAGGGCTGCTTTTGAGGTAAGAGAAGCCCCTGAAAAGCAGGGTTCTCTCCTTGTGGTGTACATGCTCTAGACGCTGCCCGGATGCACTGGGAAACTCTTCACACAGAGGTATATGGAGTTGTGTAATATTTTGTCACCTGAGGAAGTCCCCTCATTTTTATTATTAAAAATTAATTTTTTAAGTAAGAAGGCACTTTTAAAATTACACACACAAACTGCACATCTTCCTCATAAGATTTAGGGTGGAGTGGGAGAAGGAGCTGAAATCAGGCTCAATTCCCCCACTTTGGCCTTTATTCCCCACACCCCAGTGCACTGTGGGTGATTATACTGGCCCTACGGGCCTTCCTGGCTTTTTTTTCTTTCCTCCTCCCAAATTCATTGAGCACTTAATAAGGAGCAGAGATGCAGCCAGTGTCTGGGCTCCCCACGTGGTGAAATGATCTGGAACCTAGATGCTAGTAAAAAGTAGTGTCATCAGGTCATTTCCAGTATTTTTCTGGGGAATGTGGTACCGCTGACGGTAAGTGGTGGGAGAGGGAGGGGGGTAATGGAACTGGGTCTAGGGTTATTTTAAAATTATATATATATATAAATATATAAAGATATATTCTTACATCTTTTCTTTGCCCTCTGTGCTTCGAAAGCACTGGTTTTGCTTTTCTCTCTTCCACAAAATTGGAAGCTTTTTTTTTTTTTTAATATTTTTTTCTACAGGTCATCTAGCCTTGTGGCATGTCTGTCTAGCCTCTCCCCACTCCATGATGAAGTGCCATTTCTGTTGTCTCCCTGACCCCCAGCTCAGAGGTGCTCAGAGGTACAAGGTACCCAGTTTTGTCAGTTGAGATTAAAAGGAACAGAGAATGTGCAATACCGTCTGGCTGGGGGCTGTCCCTGCCACGAGCAAAGTCCCTTCCCTGGGAGCTAGGCCACCTTGAGTGGGGTATGGAAGTAAGATGTGTAGAAACAGGGAATGGTGTGGAAGAAAAGCCTATAGTCCATTGCCTGCTAGGTGCTTCAGCCATAGGGGAGAGGGTGGAATCTTCCCTGGTTTTATCTCTTCAGGGTCAATTACATAGAAGCTGCTTGTTGACTAATATAGCTCTGTGACCCTTTGCTCAATTGCTGAGGTTTGAATTCTTACTCTCTCTTCTCCCTATTTTCATACCCTACCCAGGGATTAGTGATGGGGGTAAGGTCTCCTTAATCATGATAAAGTATTAGCCTTCCACCTCCCCTTCTCTCCCTCTCCCAGTCCCTTTGTCTTCTTCAAGTCTGAACTTTTTCATCACTGATTGCCTGTGTCCCTCCAAGTCCATCATTACTGTCATCCCCAGGCTTTGGGCCCTGTAGACACTAATCCTCATGCCCCAAGAAGAGGAGGAGAGACTCTGGATTCAGACAGCTGTCCTTATGGAGCCCTGAATTTCAGGGTATTAATAGAGTGGAGAATAGAGTTCTGCCTGGCTTCCTCCAGACCCAGAGGCACTAAACGCAATCATTCATGGTGGTGTCTTAACTCCATAGAAACCTAGAAAGCTGAAATGGGTGGATTAGTGATAAGGCTTGGTAAAACTAGGGAACAGAGGTCCTTATTTGTCAATTTTCTTTTGTCACTTGACCACAGCATCAGGACTCCCTCCATCTCTGGAATAAGTATTTTCCCCACATTTTTGGATACATGTATGGTAGACATTTTTTTTTTCTTAAAGACACAGATAAATGTTTTCTGCTTTGGTTACCCTTTCCTTTCCCCTTTAAAAGGAATTAGCTATAGAACTGCTTTGTAAAGATGCTTCTTGATATTTTACTTTTGTTCCTTTTCCTCAACCATTCCCTTTTCTCCCCATTCCTCCAGAAGGCATAACCTTCTTTCCATCCCCTCTTCCCCCACCTGGTCCTAGGCTCCCTTCCCTTCCAGCAAGATCTTCATTAGCTTATGATATTTGCTGCCGAGATGTTATAACAAGGACTCATTCGTGTATATAAGCTATTTCTTGATCCATTTAAAAGGAATTGTACATTGTGTAGAAAAAAAAAAAAACGAAAAAGAGAAAAAAAAAAAAGCCCTAGCCATGGATATTGTGAAACTGTGTTATGTCATTTTGTAATGTGCCCGTTTGTGTATGATCCGTGCAAAAGGGTTTCTGGGGAAGGGGAGGGGGTAGGGAGGCAGGGCTGTGGAGGGTGGGTAGGGGAGTCAGCCAGGCCCAGAAAACTGAGACTGGCACTGCTCCAACCCAGTCCTCCTTAGAGATGCCACCTCCCCCACCACCCACCCCTAATTTGTGCCTTGCCTCCCCACCCTGGAGTAGTCCCTCCGGGTCACCAGCACTGCCTTGGCAGAGCCCACTCCCTACCCTAACCTGCCCACTCTCCTTACCCCCCAGCATTTGGTTGATTCTGTGGGGAAGTGCTGGGGGTTGGGAGGTAGCCGAGGAATGGGCAGTTCCCGGGGGCATTGAAACCAAGTATTATTATGAATTGTAATTGTATTTGCACTGTTTTTTTTTCCTCTGATTGCATCAGCATATATACAATATACCTGTATAACAAAATTAAGTGTCAACCTTTCTTATGCAAGGGATTTACCCAACCCCCTAAAGAAACGAACCCGATCTCATGGGCCCTTGAGGGTGGATGATGAGTGGACAGTAGATGGGATCCTAAGGAGGTTTCACCTGAAGAGAACCACATCCACCTGCCCAGTGCAAGGTTGTGTGAGTTTAGGCGAGGCTGGGCTTCTGTGAAGACCAGGGAGGATGTTGTGTGTTGTGGAGGGTAAGGAGAGCCACCACACAAAGGGAGGCAGTCTGGAGACAGGGTTCTCCTACTGACTTGCTGTGTGATCTTTTTTCATTTTCTGGGTCTCAGTTTTGTTGGTTTTGTTATTGGTTTTGTTTTGTTTTAAATCAGTGAAGTGGGGGGAAATCATTTGGCCACCAATTTAAAGTTCTAAGCTTCCTACCTACCAAAAAAAAAAAACAAGGCAAGGGAAGTGTTTGGTTGAAAACAAGGAGGAAATAAAAGCATTCAAGTGGTTTCTTCTTTGACGGTGCCTTTGGAGAGCTGCCCATCCCATACTTTAACCTCAGTCTGGGAGAGGCAACAATGATGTGTCTAGGATGTCAGCTCAGTGACATCTCTGCCATCTGAGGGTAAGGACCAGGCCCCCAGCCCCACCTAACAACCAGCCATAGAACCTGCAAGGGTGATTGAACACCCCAGGTTGGTGGTCTAGTTATTTGCTGCTTTGGTGAACTATAGGACTTGGAACTTCCCTTATCACCTTAGTGACAAAAGAGAAGAGTTCAGATGTAGCCCACATCTTTCCTTCCCTCAGTACCCCCTATAGGCAGCTGTTTCACAGTCTATCTTCTTTAGGGGCCCAGTTAATTTCCCCACAGCCTGGGCTATTCCCACTCTCCAGGTTCTTGGCTGGTAAAGTCTGGAGAGGATGGATGATGGGTGAGGCCTTGGTAAAGGTGGAAGGATAGATTGGGGTGGGTGGGGTGCAGGGAGGGGGGATGGGGAATGGCCTTCCCTGAATCGGGTGGGTGGGAGGGGAACAAGACCCTTTTGCACAACTCTCTTTAAGTTTCCTTTTTTTCTTTTTTAACTCATTCTAATTTTCTGCATTGTGTTCGGGAAATAAAGTGAAAAAACTTAAGACCAAGAGAAACTGGTTTTCAAAAAGGCAAATATACTCCCATCTGTTTCAGATGCTGCTGAGCATTTCGGCAGTGACAGATTCAAATAATAAGCTAATTTTTGGAGAAAGGATTAAAAGAAAAAAAAACTTTGTAATATTTATCACTTGCAAGCTATGTTTAATAAAGAAAGGAATGGTTTCTAAACTTTCCTGTGGCTTGTGCTTTAGTCATATGGGAATGGGAACAGTAGTTTGGTGGGAGAATTTTAGGGGTAAATGGTAGATGAA